GTGTGTGTGTGTGTGTGTGTGTGTGTGTGTGTGTGTGTGTGTGTGTGTGTGTGTGTGTGTGTGTGTGTGTGCGTGCGGTGGGGGAGGGGCTTCTGAACACCTACAAGAGCAACGATTATGCCACAACAGCAGGCTGCTGTTCCCGTCCCTGCTTTTATAATGTGTACGTTCATGTGGCTGCTTACATATTATGATTCCTGACTGTCAGTCCTTCTGAAACAATAACAGCACAAAGAGTTAAATCCTGAAATTAACAATTATGTAAACTTACTTCAGCTTCTTGCACTGCACCACGCTGCCTGCATTTTCAAGTTTAGACTTGAGGAGACTTTTTTGTGTAATTCATCAAATGAAACCTCAAATAAAGAAGTGTGTATGTTCAGTTCATCAATAATTGCACACAGGATAATAGATAATAAAGTATCATGTTGATCTTTTGAAACAAAAGTCATTTTTTTATTTTCAATCATCATTATATTAGTTGCACAGAGCTGAAACTAAGGCTGTCCTGTAAATTATTTCCCCTAATGTGCAGCGATGGTCTAATGGTGATAATTCAGCCGTATGACCACTCTGGAGTCTGCTGTTTGTCATGCTTTTGAAACGTGCAGCACTGATTCATTTATTGGTATTTATGTTTAAATCAGTGTGAGCTAAATAACTGAAGGACTTTTCTCAGCAGCATTTTGCAGGTAAAGGTGAATTTCCCTTTAATCTTTATAAAGTTTAACAGAAACTCTCATCATAAACGGGTGGTCTCATCCCACAAATTAGAACAATTTGAGATATGTTTTTAGCATGGTGTCAATTTAATTTCACTTTATCTATACAGCACCAAATCTCCTCAAAGCCCTTTATATTGTAAGGTAGACCCTACGATAATAGAGACAAACTCAACAAGCATTTTGGGTCCAAGAGACTTTAAATCCTCTCCTTTTGCAAAAAGAAGTACTGAAACTACTTGACACCAAAGGCTTCTGTCTCTGTGGGACTAGCTGTCCAATGTGTTTAGTGTCAGAAATGTCTTTGACCACACTACACTGGGACTTTGGACAGTCTGCAGGTTATAATGGTAATCACATCTCTATAGCTGGAGTGAAATCCTCAAGTGTACCCTTTGGCTAGAATAAAAAACAAGTAAAAATAGATTCCTAGGCTTATGTAGGCCATAGCTGTGTTTATATTAAGCTGCCAATAAGACTGATCTGATGCGGAGGAGCCCGCTCCCTTTGCTCTATGTCTCTGCCTTTCTGCTAATGCTGACGGAGATGGACTGCTGCAGAGAGAACAATAACTGAATCTGTCCTCATATCCACCCTGCTCCTCTACAGGGAATGCACTGCACTGTAGCACAGCTGTATGTTCTGCCTAAATACTGAGTGAGTCTGATCCTGGCACTTCTTTCACTGAGTCAGGGAATAGTCAGTCCAGTTGTTAGCTAATGGTCCATAGACACACAAATCTGTGCGTACACAGATGTCCTGTTGTTTCCCCGTTAAAAACACATCGGGCTACAGTTCCAAACAAGTACTTCATATTTCTCTCTGTGAGATTAAAAGAGCTCAAATAGAATCGGAAAAAATCTTAGTTCAAACTTCACATACAGCATGAAAACATGAGGGGAACATGTGCTACAGATCAGAGACACGTTAGTCAGTGACTTTGGATCAGACTTGTTTTGTCCATTAATGTTTTGAAAAGTCTCGCCTACGATTTCTGTGACTGTTGTATTTAAGATGGAACGACAACAGACACAACTGAAGCAGAAGAAACTGATATGGCCTACCTTTGCTTCACAGTGCAAACCAAGCTTTAACAGTGTGTTTCCCATGATGCAACAGTAGCATCAAAATCAAAAGCTGACCTACAGAGGACATTATACATCTGTTTAAACGGGCTGAGCAGAGCATCCCATTCTGAACAAATCAAACTGGAACTGCTGCTTGGCTTCCAGTGAGCATGCAGACGATGTCATCCCTGCAGTCTGTTTAAGTCTAGTGCAATAGATCAGATGATGCTCTCAGACTGCAGTAGGTCATGTCATGCTGCTGCTGTTTTGTCTGCTATGCACCTACATTTTTTCCTGCAAATAGCATTTTGAAAGCTCAGAAAGCATGCGTCCTCTTCAGCTGCATGCCGACATACTCCCTTTCAGAAAAGCAATAACAGAGCAATGGCTAATTTTCTTGATTATTATTATTTTCAACCCCCTTGTCCTTTTTCATTCTGGGTGAGCTAGCTAACACTAATTACATGTATTGCAAATTATCCAGTTTGTGTTGCGTAGCAACGCAAATGACTCAACCCATTCTGCTCTTTTCCCTCTTGTTGCCTTTCTAATATTTCTATCAATGAAGCTATACGTGGGTATAGAGAAAAGCCTTGTGTGTTAGCTCTGTAGAACAGAAAGTAGCAGCACACAAAAAACAAATACGGTTTCCACATATTTAAACATCTCTTTGCACTTTAACTCTGTCCGTGCTTTAGATCTGTTATTAAAAGCCAACCCACCAGCATTTGTGGTTTGCTAGTGTGGCACATTAAACGAGGCCTCTCAGCATTACTGTCATTCAAATGGATGCTGACTCCTTCATTAAACTGCATTGTTTTTGATGATGAACAGGCGTCAGAGACAAAGCTGTCCCTAATTTACAGTTCTG